AGTAAATTTTAAAAATAGTGATGAGATTGCCGTTAAACTGCATATATATATATATATATATATATTTATATGTGTGTGTCCAACTAAAATAAATGACAACCAAAAATAAATTATTTTATAGAACTTAATGACATTCATAGCTTAAATTCATCCTGCAGTCTAGTACATAATTTCGTTAAAACGGCTTTGTGAAAGATAAAATAATGACCTGTTTTCCTATCATTTTATTAGACTAGAGATCATAATCACCTTTTTAAATAAAAATGTATATTCTTTTCCACGTGTTTGTTTTGTCGAAGATTGAAAATATAAGTATTAAACTATGTATTCTGCTCGTCGTATGCCGTAAACCTATCACTTTGCTCTTTTGTTTAGAATCCAAGACACCGGTACAAGAATTAATGGTCAGATTTTGAATAAAAATGTCATCAAAAGTATCGCTATATTTTTTATTTATGGTTTAAATTTCAAATTATGTATCAAAGTCAACACAACATATTTTTCGACATGAAGAACACAATTCTTTTATCGAACATTTTATTGTATTCTCTGAAATTTTAAACAAAATGGAATGAATATTAGGAGTTCTTATTATTAGAATGTGCAAGCTCAAGAATACATTATTACGACAGCAAAATAATGTGAAAAAACATAGTTTTGACTATAACACACAGTCCATGCTACAAGTTCGACAAATGGTATATTCAATTTTTTTGTAACTTACCTTGTGTATTTTTTGTTGTTGCATTTTGCTGGACAAACTACAAACTTAAAAATAAAGCAAAATTGATGATGAAGATGATGTTTTATTTATATCATATAAGGCCAAGATGTCATACAAAATAAAACTGTATGTAAAAGACCGAAGTCAGCTGATTTTTACATTCTTTTAGTTAAAATATCAACATTTGACCTATTGAACGTGCTAAGAATATATTTTTATCATTGAAATATATACTGACAAATTTGTTTTTGACATTCGTATTAATAATAGTTTTGCAATGTCTAACACAAATTACTATATTTATTTTTACATTTTTGTTTTATATATTCAATCATACACTCTAATAACAATAACAAAGTAGAAAATATTTTTGAAAATCTTTAAAAATAACTCTGTCTCTGATCCTAAAAAAAGAATCAAAATATTTCATTGTAGTCATAATCTAAGAAACATGAATCATAAACTTGTACAACACGAAACGTTGCCCATATTTTTAGAACGAAGTTGTACCTAATTTAAGATAATAAGTTATTTCTTTTAAAGATACTTGTTATATACCGTCAATAGACTTTATACAGAAGAAGAAATTATAATCATTTTCTTTTCAATTAATGTTTGATGTAATTCACGCCTCAACTCTAATTGATTTAACCACTTTCTATTCATTGGAGACCCTTTATATTTTTCTCTTCTTTTTTTGTTCTTGTCACTTTATTTAACTTCTGATTGAAAATGGATAATAGGATGCCGTCGTGTGTTATAAAGCAATTAGATACATCTACAACTACAAGTTTTCTCCAACCCTGACGCTCGTTGTTTCTTCTTTTCTAGAAAAGTTATTATTCAAAAAGTCTCCAATCAAAGATTTTTTTAACTCTAACTTTAACATAATAGTTAAACGACAAAAAAAAGAAAACTATATCTCGTTCTAAGAGAAGAAGAAGAAGAAGAAGAAGAATAAAAAAAAGCAATTTTCAAACAATTGAGATTACAATTTGTCTAAGAAGAGAAAAGAAGAATGACTGAATGCTAAAGTTGATAGGAGGCAGTATGATGAAAATAAGTGCAGCACACTTAACTTAGGTTTAACCATTGCTACGGCGAATGGAAGAACAAGGACATTTCAAGAAACAGCGCATTAAATCCATATAATTACGTAATCCACGCAAATTACTTGGTAAGTTTGTAGAGAAAAAATATATTTATCCACTGTCTAAACATTGACAAACGCTCTTCTTGAATACGATTTTTTGTAGAAAAGACCTGTCCTATACCTTGCCGAATGAAATCTTCTTTCAAACTTGAAAAAATTTAGCTATTTTATTGATCAATTCTTGCTATATGTATTAGATATGTAAATAAGATGAAGTCAGAAAATGATCGTGAATGAAATATTCAAATCATTATCGATAATAGAAGAAACAATGAAACTTGTTTTTACCGTTGCATTTAGCGACATAATTGAGCATTAAGAAAAAAAAGAAAAACTTTAACTTTTATTTTTTCAACCGAACTGATCAGTGACTTTTACGTTATATATATATCATTTTGTGCAAGTATAAAAGTAAGTCTTTTAAATTATATCTCGTATTATTTTATTGAAAAGCAATAAAGTAAGCAGTAAGTATTGAGTGAGTAGATTATTGTTTTTCCAAGTATACTACATTGAGCAAACTCTCTTTTTCTTAAACTAGGGCTTGGGATGTGTGAATGATGATAAAAAACACAATTATGCTTTCACACGTGCAAAAAGCAAGGACTATGTCACTATTCATTTATATATATTCCATCTAATATTTTTATCCAAAAATCAGTTTAGGTCAAATATATAATATGTTCATATATATTTTTGTAAAAGACGTTTTCGCTTGTTAGGTGAATAGTTTCATTTTGATTAATCATTAAAAAATTTGGTGCTTGTTCCGCGCTGAACCAAATTATCTGAAGAGAAGCTCTTGTTTCTCTCTTAACCCTTTACCCCAAAAAACGTTGTAGAGAGCTTGGGGACATCTCATTTTGTAGAAAATTGTTTGCTCTATCATTCTACGTACTTTATTCGCAAGTTCTAGGTGCTGGAAAACTACAGTGATTACAAAAATTGATCAACTGGGTGTATTTTCGATTTTTTCCCCAACCATAAACGCTAAAAAGAATTCAAATAGTGGCTTGAGTAGGGAAAATTGTTGCTAACTAGGATCTGCGAAAATAAAAATCATCACTGGATTTCCAATAATAGAGTTTTCTAGAAAACCAAAATCCTAGTTTTCCGGCACCTAGAACTTGCGAATAAAATTTTTTCAAACTACGTAGAATGATAGAGCAAACAATTCTCTACAAAATGAGATGTTCCGAACTCTCTGCGACGTTTCTTGGTCGAACTATATCAAATTTACGAAAGCCCAAAATGGCACTTTTTCAAGTCAGAACAAAACTGATGAAACGACATGTAAAATACTAGGAATGGACATTCTTGAGAAAATGCGATGATGCTTTTGAGAAAATTTGATTTTTCTTCGCAACCAAGAGGTTTCTAAATCTAAAGAAAAAATGGTATACCTACTTTTGTATGCTGAATCGAATGAAAACGGTTTCACAAAAAGAAAATTTGATCTCGTGACAGCAATCCTCGATCCAACCAGAAAGTCTGTTAACCTTTTGACTGTTTTTGCTTTGGAAACTCTTATCAAATTTGTTCACATTCATTTTTTTCTCTTAAGAAATTTAGTCATAAATTATGTTTTCAGTGTGACTATGTGAAGAAGACAAATGAGGTTTTCACTCGTTTTTCTTAGACTGTTTACCCAAACCGAGAAAGACGAACTCCAAAAATCAAAAGATAGCCTAAATACCTGTGTATTAATCAACTATGTACACCTCACTTCTTTACTAAATATCCATCAGCTCTCCACTGTCTCTCTTAAGGCTGCAACTTCAAATGTTATAGTAACTGATCTAGGTGACGTGGTGACAGTGGCGGATCCAGCCCGCGAGCGGTACGAGCGGTCGCTCGTACCTTTTAACCAAAAAAGCTGTTTCATTCTAAAATTTTATCAAACATTAAATTTATAATCAACTGTTTATCACCAACTGATCATGACTAACGGTTTAGAACACCATTAAACAGAATATTCCATACATTTCTTTTATACGCGCATTTAGATATTCATCATCATTATCAATATTCAATGAAGAAACACACATATTGATATATTATTATTATTAAATGGGTACCCATTAGAATTTATTAAACAACAATATAGCAAAATTTTAGCAACATATAACATGAATCAGCTAGACAGTAATAATTTTACCATAATTCAACAAAAACTCCTCGAAAATACAATGAGAAGCAACAATAAAAATACCGACTATAGCAATAAAATATTTTTTCATTTTTCATATACTAACAATATGGCTAAGTTTAACCAAAAATTTCATCGAATATGGAAAGAACATTTCGGTGATACTCATATTTCACATATTAAACCAATAATTGCCACAAAAAATATAGATAATATACAAAAAATGATTACCAACACAAAGCCATCGTTAGACAATCTCGTGTGACAATATTAGACACATTCAAATGTGAATTTCATTATATTTTTCGTTAGTTTTATATTGGAATGAATTGATTTTAGATCGGTTCGTATTTTGAAGTTAGTATTACTATTATCACTATACACTTGGTACTTTCAACTATTGTTCGATAGAACTTCCGTATTTTTCACATTCGATATATTGATGAAGAAATATTGAGATTGACAACATTACATATATTTTTTGAATCTCATTACACATCGCCTTCTATAAATATTTTTCCATCAAGAACAAAAAATTTTATTTTATTTAATCACTTATTATCATTGCAACTAAAAATCGTTTTGAAACAAGCCATTATAATAGATAAGAAGGAATATCATTAGAATTCTTCTCCTTTTTTCTTATTAACAATAAGAGACAGTCGAACATAGAAGGACAGTTACAAATGTATATATATTTTTACCTCCCCACGACCATGCGGTAGTGTAATATATAGCAGTGACGATCATGCCTAGACCTGTGGGCCGCGCCGCCGCCGATGGATAACGGAGGTTTCCGGCGCCGCCGCCGCCGCCGAAGGCGTCAAAATTTTTTGGACCAAGTCGCCGCCGCCGCCGCCGATGGATAAGTTAGATGTTTGCACAGCCGCCGAAGGCGTCCAAGTTTTGTGGAGGTTCTCGCCGTAAAAGCTTGCTTTAGCCTTCGCCGATAGAAAAAGTTTTGCGTGAAAAAATCATGAGAAACAGGCGGAATCACTGGTTTTTTCGATAATAGTTAAACAAAATTGAACTTTAGATTTTGATTGAACTGTACATTTTTGATTGAAAATAAAATGAAAGTTTGATGAACTTGACAATGGATCTTGGTTTAAACTAAAGCTTTTTGTACTCAAATTTGGTTGTGGTTGACCCCTCCGCTGACGATGAAAATCTTTAAATAACCTTTCAGCCGCCGCCGCCGATTGAACGTTTTCTTTTAGCAGCCGCCGCCGACGGCGGAAAATCTTTAAATGAGATTCCGCCGCCGCCGCCGCTGGTCGAAAAACTTCTGTTACACGCCGCCGCCGATTTTCCGACCGGCGCACAGATCTAATCATGCCTAGTCAAATATAGAACATGGAAGAGTAGTTTATATTTTTTTATCTTTTCGCACATTTATATGTATTGAATTTTCTTCACTTCTTTTACATTTTTATTTTAATAACACAAACTGAAGAGTATCTTTAGAAGATCGAAATTAGTTATATATCTTTATTAGTCTTAAATTATTTTTTATCAGAGAATCGCATATATAGATATATAAATAAAAACGAGATATCATCAACAACAAAAATATTTTTGGATGATAATTACGTATTGAATTACATTGACAAGGGAAACGGGTTTTTCTTTTTTCGTCATTATTTTGTTTAAACCTTCACTAGTAACTGGATCTAAACACACTGTTTCACTCTCTTCCACTACATCAGGTGATTTTGGTCTAATTATCGCTTGTGTTGGTGACGTTAAACGATAGAAAACGAATTCACTACTAGTTGTTAATAAACCACAGACGGGTTTAAAGTCTTTGATCAAATGCTGACAGACAATCATCGCAGCTACTAACGAGCCACATGGAATTATTGAATTCCATTAGATCGAAAAATGACTAAACGATTATATTGACAAGCACCCGATTCATAACGGGATATAACATAATTGAGATAACCGTGCATTAAACAACCACTGACATTATTACATCTGAAAAGGTACAAAACGATTTTCTGGTTGTTGATATTCGACTAAATCTTTTTCCCAATATTTCATGTAAATAATTGCTAATGATAATGTTAGTGATGATTTCATTGCGCCTCCTTTAATTCGATGGCAATAATTATTGTCATAGTAAAAGTAGTTATTTTTCAAAATAAGATTACACATTTTAATAATAACGTCTATTAGTATTCCGTCTAATGCTGTTAATTGCAAGTCTTCTTGTAAGAATCTTCTCAAATAAAATATTGCTCGATTTTGATTTAGCATAGTACAGTGGTTGGCGAGTCCGAGTCGCATCTTTTTAATGACTCTGACTTGACTCTGACTCGAAAATTGGAAGACGTTGACTCGAGTCATTCATTCGAAAAAAATTCTATTCACTAACTGCTTTGCATACATTTCCTCTTGTATAAATTTGGGTTATTTCTGAATGCTCTTTATTGTTTTATTTTATTGTTACGTTTCAATGTCAAAGACGCCTTCGTCAGACAAAAGTAGAATAAATATGAAGAACATAATTAATTAGAGTATATATATGTGTAACACTGCTGACGAAGAACAAGACGAAGACAAAGTGCTAAAGGACAACGACTGATTATTGCTGTTTTGTTCTTCGTGGCTGTAAACAGGTTCAAGTCAAGATATTTAGATATAAAACAAGATGTTTTTTTACTTCGATGTGGAGCTGTATAAAAGAGAAAACTTTTGTTTTACTGTTCTCATTTTTTGTGTATAAAAATTAAGAAGTAGATAATGAACATCGAAAAATTGTAGTTAACGTTCTCTATAAAAATAAATAGTACTCGGAAAAAAACAGAAAAATAATATTGACTCGACTCGACTCGAAATCGGTGATAAATAATGTAATCTGCCGTAGATTTCGTGATATTCTATCGATTTATGTTATCACGATGTTTATCACGCTTTTAAACTTGGCTGGAACCTTGAGACATTGAAAAATGAGCCATTTTTTAGAGAAAATTTGATTTTCTATCGAATGGTGTAAGTACCAAATTTTTTTAAAACGTTTCTAGGCCAAAAATTTTAAATTAAACTTTTTCCACTGCAATTTATATTTTTTTTTTGTTAAGGAGGTCGGATTCGAAATCAGCGTTATTTCAGCTGTTTCCAATACTACTTTATTTTAGAAAACATTTATCTTGAGTACAACAAATATACGTTTGTTTTTTCATTAGTCTTCGTACTACTATAGAGTGATCACTAAACAGGAGATGTTCGAAAATAAACTATTTCTCCTTGATAATATTCGTCGCAGCGTGTACATCAACTGAAAGATATTCCGTTATCTGATGTAAATAATATGGGAAACATGTTATTTTCTAAAACTTTATTGTTTTCTTCAGTTAAAAACACTCAAGTGCGCGAAATATTGATGCTCTATCAAAAAAATGACTTGAGTCTTAGTGAGTCACAAGGTACCATTTACTGTTGACAAAAGCTTTTTTTTCTTCAAATCAGAATCGTACACAGAGCTGGGCGAGTACGGATTTTCCCGAGTATGAGTATATTTTTTTTCCAAAAAAATCAACGAATTGTTGGATTTTTTCATTATCTGCTTTTGTTTTGTTAATCTATAATTTATTCTGATTCCAGTAACCTTCCGTAAACTGAAGTACTAACATTTCCCATACGCCTAGCTCCTCAGCACTTTGAACTATTTCACATTTTCTTCCTAACGGCACGTGAATTATCACTCAACTAAAAGTTTTTGTATAAAAAATCTCTAGAAAACAGGTATGAATAACTGAGTACAAAGTCTTTAGTATAAGTACAAGTATCTGACCGTCGTGTACGCGTCGCGAATACGAAAAATTGATACTCGAGTACTCGGCCAGCTGTGATCACACAACTGTTTCACAACGCCACCTAGATTAGTTACTGTAACGTTTGAAGTTGCAGCCTTAAGAGGGACAGCGGGGAACTGATGGGTATCTAGTAAGAAAGAAGTGAGGTGCACATACCTGTAGGTTTTAGGAACAAAACTTATGCTTTTTCAATGTTTCAAGGTTCTAGTCAAGTTTAAAAGCCTGAAAAAAATTTGTCAATTTACTTTTCACATAAATCGATAGAATATCACCAAATCTATTTCAAATATAAAAATCAACTTTTTTGGAGGACATTAAGTGCCTGAAAATTCACTGACAGAAAAGTGTGTCACGTCGTCGCAATTATTTATTGACATTTATAAGCGAGGGAAAGGCTGTGGAAGGAAATCTTTTTTAATACTGAATAGCTCGTAATCTTCTCTGCAACCTTCGCTCAGACAGTTTCCATTTGCTCAAGTAATTTTACAGAAATTGGCGTTTGAATGGATGTACTCGCAATGTAGGGCCTTTTTCGCAATGTAGGGCATCCGTCACGCACCAAATATTCCTTCCCAAAGCCGTAAAGATTACTCAAATTTTGTTTTTCTTTTACCCGAGACAGAGAGCAATGAACTGCACAAAATGGCCGTAGAATCATCATTCTATCTCTTATAGTTTTTATAAAAATTGAGAATTACTATGTGAAAAATGTCATGCCGTTACGTTTGGACAAGCCGTGTAGTATAGTATATGGTATGGGAATTTTAATATGTGCTACATCTCATGATGAATGGAGTTGTAATCGAAAGCTTGTGGTCTAAATAAAATTAGAACAAAATGATTGTTGTCTATATAAGAATTTATTCAGTTTCTAGTCAATTATTTTACAACAAAAAATATTGGACGATGAAAAATGATTTAAGTCTGTTGACATCCATATTTTGTCGGGTACTGTTGTTGCTACAGAGGTGGGTAGCCTGATGTTGGTTAACGTTCGATATAAGCCAAAGGTGAAGACAACGACGTTGCATAATTACTAAATGTATAGTTAAAAATAAGAGCAGTATCATAATCTTAACACGTTCACTGTCCATGTATCATATATGATTCATTTAATTTATGACCATGGAATTCATGTACTAGATATGATACATATTACAAGATTAGACTAAATGATTTTTTGTTGTGAAACGTACACAAAAACTGGTTGTAGGAGCGTGTGATCTTTTCACATAAAATTATTTTATATTCAATTCTCGGTTTTTGGATAATATCGACGCAAGTAACATATGACGATAAATCTCCTTCGAGTACTATAACTCGAAAAGTTATTATGTAAGCTATTGAAGTTGTCTAAAATCGACCTAAATTCCTTCAATGGAAGCGAAAAGCTTGTGTTTTATCGACTTTAAGCCGTTTAAATCTATTCCTCTCTTCCTTGCCGATATAATCGACAGATATTCGATGAATATAGTATTTTGTTCTTGCCTTGTATTGAGTTTAAGAAAAAAGTCTTTATATACGTATATTGTGTGCCAAAATAAGAAAAAAGAAGCAAATGAAGTACATAACATGCATATAGGACGACATTTTTCTTAAACACAATATAAAAGAACAAATACTATTTTCATCGAATATTCGGTTTGGTCAGGATGAACATACATCCAAATTTGCTTGTTGGTATATTGTTCAAGATGTTGTGAAACAAATATGAAATAATTTATGTTTGACAATAATAATACAAAAATGAAGATGAGAGAAAATAAAAGGTGAAGGTCTCAAGATACGCTTATCTTAATAAAAAAAACACGAAATTTTGATTTAATCTCATTTTGATGTTTCATTTTTAATTTATTTCATTTTCTACATAAACTAATTCACGAAATAAGTAAAGTTTGAACACGCATTATCTCTGATTATCATGACCCGAAGACAAAGCCGGAATGTCATGTTAGTCAAAAAGAGTTTATCTAGCTGCTGAATATAAAAGAAGAAAGTATGATTTGTTAAACATTAATCACTAATAGTGAGAGCCACATATCTCAAAAACTAGAAGGGTTCTTTTTCTGGAAAATACATCAGTATATAGAGCAGTCTGGGGTAATTATGATCAGGATAACAAGTTTTCTCAGTATTCCTGAAGCTCTGCGCTATTTTTCACCGAAAAAACGGATATTTCACATGTAGGTTGAGCTGAGTCTTACTTATCGATCGCTGTAAAAATTATCTTATTCAATTAAAAATCAATCGCGAGGAGGCATCGACTGATCATAATTACCCCGTTTGGAGTAATTATGATCAGTCAACGTATACCGTTGGGGTAATTATCATCAGTACAGCCAAAGTGGCTAGAATGAAGTTAAACAACTTCGTTTCAACGACGACTTCTCAGCTCTATTTCTCATGTGAATTACACATCATTTGGACTTGAGCTGAATTACTTAATGAGAAATTACGAACATTAAAAGAGACAGTCATTTTTCCTATATATATGCTTTGGGGTAATTATGATCACTCTACTATTTTTATAAGGTAATTATGATCAATCCGTGAAAATTACACGGAATAAACAGAACTTGACCAAAAACTTTTTTTAACAACGCATAACGTCAATCGTCCTACTTGGAATACAACATACCCAATGACACAAAAATTAAGTCGAAAACATAACTGTTTCTCAAAAGATTGAAAAATACCACAAATAATTTCTCAAAAAAAGGTGCGTGTTTTACTAATGATTGAAATAAGATGCTGTTTAATCCATATACAAATTGAAATGATAACAGTACTGATCGCATATAAGTGTACAAAGGATATCAATTTCTGAAAAACTTTTTGGTCTATTAAAACGAGAATTTGATAATGTACATGAAAAGTTCAACTTGTTCGTTATCCGACTGCTAATTAAGACTTTTGCAGAGTATTTCGCGGCGCATCTTTTAAAAAACACGTTAACTTAAGAATCCTAAAGAAACACGACAAAAATAGAAAATACTAAGAGAGTCATTCTTTATGCCGCACCCGTTAGTTTATCTGTCTCATTTATCCCTAACTTAATTATTCTGCTAATCTTAATGAACAGAAATGCATTTATAATCAACAATGTTTTCTATGCACAGTACTCGTTAAAAACACGCGTTTTTCGTTCGCCTTTTACATATGTAATTAATTATAATATTCTGAAGACATTTTTCACTTGAACTAGACAAAAAGGAGCTTCTGGAGATCGGCGCACGTCAAATTCTGTTTATTTCGTGTAATTATCACGAATTGATCATAATTACCCCAACGCAAATATATTACTTATTCCTTCAAAACATTCCGCGGCTTAACCGATAACCTTCAAATTGGAACATCACGTGGCTATAGAAATCCTTTTTCTTGTAACAGCAATTCTTTTGCTCTGACCATATCACAAAAATTTAACGAAAACAAAGTTATTTTAAAATAATTGAAACTTTTCAAAAAATAAAAGTCGTATCTTCAAAGTAAATTTTTTCCTTAGATTTCTATGAAAAGTGTTGAGCCCAAAACATGTACAGCAATCAACAATTTTTAACATCTTTCCTCTGAGATGAGCATTGTTGATTGAACAACAGATGTTTCTTCATACTTATTTTCAAGAATCTGTGCAATTTTTCAGTTGTCGGTCATGATCGATTTCGGTTATATCGGTTTTGGATAATCGATTAAAAACGGAAACCAATGCATGCCTAGCTTTGAGCAGCTATTCGTCCTGGAGAAAAAGCTCACTGGACCAGATTGGTCTCAGTTGGATAAATAGAAAAGCCTGATCGTGCAGATCTCTAGGTGTTTAGTGTTTTTGATAGATTTAGGTTTTCGCATATTCTCTCAAAAGCCATGGGTAAATTTTAGTATATTAAACGGTGTGTACACCTGTGAATATTGTGAAATGAACTGTGGTCGCACATGAACATCGTAAAATAGTTGCATGAAAAGTTTATTCCACTTGTGACAGCTGGATCACAACATCTTCTATAGTATGCTTTATTTTCTTCTGACAGCATTATTCAAAGATGCGGAATATACTGATTATTCCAAAAACATTCGGGAGCAGTAAAAAATTTCTGAGAAATTTTACACGCAAGAATCGCCATTTTGTGTTACAATTTAGTTCTTTATTTATTTTAGAAAAACTTTTTTTAAAGTTAAAAAGAATTTTATATGAAAATTTTCCAAAACTTCTACCAGCGGCGTTCACTCCGACCGATAGTTTATGTACCTCTGGTGTCACTATATTTCTTTGCTCAAAATTAGCATTATATCAAATATAATTGTATTGATTAATAAAAATTTGATCGTTGTACGTGATTCATCTATTCTTTCTTTTTTTTTCTCTCTGATTTTAATTGAGCCAAAGACGAACATTTAATTTTAACCCTTAAGCCGTATAGAGACATGCCACTACTTTTATGAAGAAGAAGGTAACAAATTTATAATGTCTCATATACATGCCCGTAAAAATGGTTCGTTTTATACGTGTGTGTGTGTACGAGAGACAATATGATTCATTCATATATATACACCTTTTAATAGAGAAACGGAAAAAGAATGAAATGACTCTTTCTCTCGCTCATTCTGTCAATTTACACTTTTGTTTGTTTGTTCGATAAATTCTTTTTCTAGCCTCTTTTCTCCTCCTCCTTCTCCTCCTCACTAGATTCGAATGCAGACTCGACGTTTTCTCCTTTTACACTCACCTAAAAAAACAGGAGAGTATTATAGTACTCACTATATGCGTCGATGAGAGAGAGAGAGAGAGAGAGAGAGAAGAGAGAGAGAAACAACATCATCCATAACAACTCATATTTCTTCCTTCTTTTTTGAAAACTCGATTTTTTTCATTTCATAAAAAAAAAAGAAAATATATACATTCATTCAATACATATTTATGAGGTGTCATATGTCATTTTTCCTTCTCTCCTCACTTGTACGGTCCTCAATAGATTTACAAATATGAGAGGAGAATCTCTTGTTCCAATAATCAAAAAATTGTAAGTCATCTTAGGTTAGAAAATTCAAAAAATATTTGAGATAATGATTCATCACAAAATAGAGGAAATAAAAGGATGAATCATTGTACTTTCAATGTTTCATCAATTGATACATAAATGTCAGGAACATTCTTTTTTCGAGAAAATTTTTTAAATTTTTTGAATAAATCAACGTTGAAATTGTTTATAGGTGAGACTTCTTTCTGCTTAAAATAAGTAAGATTGTACAATTCTTATAACATGAACAGTAAAGTCGATTGACTGTTCAACAGTGTACTTCATCACATAGCAAATTCAGGTATGTTAATTTGTCCGAGAAAGAAAAGTTAGATTATAATTTACAGATATGATGAAGTAATGTAAAATTCATTAAGTCGTATGAATTATGTGTTGATTTGTGTTTTGTTTGTTCTTTTTAGCTAGTTTTTTTTTGAGTAGTAAATACTCACTTCGATTTCAAAAGAAATCGTTATTTTTATTCTGCAATTTCCATTTTTATCTGGATATCAAATTTTCTTTTATTCAATGTATTTGCTCATATTTACCTTGTCTCCCAACACTTGACTATTATTTATTTTTTTAGAAAAATTTATTATTCTTCATAAAAATTATTCAAATGAGAGAATATAAATTAGTTGTCCTTGGCAGTGGTGGTGTAGGAAAATCTGCTCTCGTAAGTACAACATTTTATTTATTTCTATTATGGCATCATTTTCACCTGATCAATAATATAAACATTTTTTGTAATAATATTATAAAATGGTTACAATTATAGTCATCTCCTATTATATTGTAATCTTTAAGTTATATTTTACTTGTACTTACTCATTTTTCAGAGTCAATATAGAGTTATAACGCTGACTTTTTAGTCATGTAAAAAAAGTGATATTTCACTATCGTTCTTACTTATTGAATATACTACAAATTGATTACTTTACATCTCATTCTGTATTTCGAAAAATATTTTTAAATCATATTACAGTATTTCTCGTTGTTTGTTGTCATCATTCTATTGAAGTGCTCGAATTTTTCTTTGATTTACTCTCAACACAGAATCTTTTATACGTGTCTGATAATCGAATGAATTTAAAAATAAATAAATAAAATTTAAAAAAGTATTTTTTCTTTTTTAGACTGTTCAGTTTGTACAAGGAATATTCGTTGGCAAATATGGTAATTATTGTCATTTTTGATATTATAACATTTCTTATGACTCTTTTTTATTCTGATAGATCCAACAATTGAAGATTGCTATAGAAAAGTAAGTGTGTAGCAAAAATGAATTCAATAAAATTTATTTTAACTTATTTTTTATCAACAGCAAGTTGAAATTGATGGACAACAATGTATTCTTGAGATTCTTGATACAGCAGGAACGGTATGTATTTGTACTCTTTAAATCTAACTTTCTGTTGAATAATGAAATCAAATTATATTTAAATTTAGGAACAATTTACAGCAATGCGCGATCTGTACATGAAAAATGGTCAAGGTTTTATTTTGGTCTACTCTATAACGTCTCAAGCAACGTACAATGATCTGATGGATTTGAAAGATCAAATTATTCGAGTGAAAGATACAGGAGCGGATATTCCAATGGTCCTTGTCGGCAACAAAAATGACTTAGAAGATGAGCGTGTGGTAGGAAAACAGAATGGAGAAGCATTGGCTCGAAGTTGGGGATGTACGTTTTTAGAAGCATCGGCAAAATTACAAGTAAACGTTAATGAGGTAAGTATTTATAATAAACTGATACAAAGAGAGAATATGATCTTTCATACAAACGTCCATTTTGTTTCAGATATTTTTTGATTTAATACGTCAGATAAACAGAAAAACTCCTCGTACACGTCCAGTAAGACCGGCAACAAACCAAAATAACAATAATCATGCGCCAGTGCAAGTTGAACAACCTTATTCCGGACATAATTCTGGAAAAGATTGTTGTATTTTATTATAATTATTATTGTTTATTATAAAGGTAAAAACATCTTACATTCTTATATTACTCTTCTGCACGACATACATATTTATAAGACCGTTTATCGGTTATTAAAACATCGGAGTATACATTTTATCTGTTTCTAGGCAATCATACAAAAAAAAATATTCTTCCTGGTGAAATGATTCTTAATGTATCTACGTTTTCGTCTTCAAGTGACTATCAGATGCATTTCTCTCTTCTTTTATCGCTCGGTTATGACATACACAAATGCTATATATACACAAAACTAACTTGATGCAAGGTGATTATCAAGTTTTTATAATATCGTTCAACATTCCATACTTGAGTGTTTTTTTTCAACTATTTTCTTTGTATGTTGTATTTTTTACTTTTGTTCTCAGTGTAAATTTATAATAATAAAAATACGCGAAAAATCGTTGCAGAATTTTTTGTAATTAATTATTGATACTGGTTTCAGTTTCATTTAGTTCCATTCAATTTCTACATACATAAGAGCCATAAAAGTTCCCATATCCCTATCCTAGTGAATGTACTAGAGCCAGGGTTAAGTAATGAGGACAGTACTGTTGGATTCTTACAAGTAAATTTACTTGTCGAGTCCTTGAGAAAGTACTTGACTGGTCTAATGAAAGTAAATTTATTTGAAAAAGTACAGTCAAGTTTGTAGTTGTATTGTAAGTTAGTATGTTTGTAAGTTGTATTTTGTATTTTGTACGTATTATATAGCCATACTCTACGTTTGTATAGCAAATACATGCACGGCTACGAAGTTTGTTTAACTGACGAGGCAACCTCCCCAGGTGTCCGGCTCCGATTTCGTTCGTTCATACATCATTCGATAGAGGACCTCGAGTAGGCAAAAAGGCTAAAAGGATTTGGGCGGAGGGCCCTTTAAGACCCGGTTTTCTGAAAAACTGGTTT